AGAGACATACCATTGGTCAAGGGAATAAGAGACTGCATTGCCAAAATCTATAATCCCTTTTCGTTTATGTGTGTTGGCCTCTTATGCCACAAGTTTGCTGAAACATCATCCTCAACGGCATTTACCTGGTTACTATTTAATTCTATCCATGTCTTATACATTGTACAACATAGTTTTTTTTTTTTTTACAACTATCATAGATCTTTTGAAAAGCTTTCACTGCTCATTCTTTTGTCGACTCTCATATTTTTTCTTATCAAAGATATTGATAGCAACAAGTTCATTCTTATATTCAAATATGTCTAACATCCCTCAAAGTTAACATATAGCCTATACTAGTTTGTACTATAATATCACTAATCCCGATAATCTGTGACACTCTTGTTTCCCATCTTGGTGCAATTAAAATCTTATACTTTGTAAATTATAAATAACTCTTTCTTAGGAACACAATGATATATCGCTCCTATATCAAATATCCACTCAATGTCGGGATCATCAACATGATTACAATCATCATATGTATAAATCAAAGTAACTGAATCACTCTTTGAATTCACTGTTGCAATATTACCATCATCTGAACTGTTGTCTTTCTCATCTTTTCATTTTATTTTAAGAATTTACAGTGTAATTTTATATAATCTGTTTTACTACAATATAAATATTTCACTTTATCTCTGGACTTAGATCTATGTTTAAACTTATTATAGCCTTTTGAGTTTTGACCTCTGTTGATGTTTTTTTCCCTATTCTCTGTAACCACAGCTTGATTTTCAAGGTCTACATCTTTTCGCCTTACTTCTTCATTAAGCATACTATCTTTTACCATCTTCAATATCACCTTGTAATCAAGAGGTAAATTAAGAACAGTCATAACTAAAATATTCCAACTGTCTGACAATGAACCCAAAAGAAATAATACATTCATTTCATCATCCATCTTAAGCTCCATAATAGTCATCCGATTTAATATGTCTTGAAAATTACTCAAGTGCATTATAATCGATTGTCTATCCATGTACTGTAAAGTTGTAAGCTTTTTAACAAAAATAACTTTATTCATACATGTTTTGCTCTCATATAATGCTGTCAATTTTTCTCAAACAATGTGGGCATTTGCCTTCTGTGCTACATGATGGAACACGTTGATATCAACCTTTTTTTTGAATAATTTGATGTTATCAATTTTATTATGAAACTTGTATCACCCTCCATGATCTCAAACAAAATTTGCTTCTGTGTTGGGCTATTTCTGTATTGATGTCTCAAAATAACTATTGCTCTGATATTACTTGTTAGACCTGAAGCAGTAAACACAACAACGCAGAAACAATATATCATAATAAACCTATAGTAATAGACGACAATTAACAATCAACATTGCAAGAAAAATAAAACACATCAAGATTTTCATAAAAAAAATCCTCCAGTGTAGAGGAAAAAATCACAGATCACCAAAAAAATCTCTACTATCAAATAATAGATATACAAAGTTCTTCTTTAGCTAAAACTAGAGCTAATCAACAACTAGAGAGATAATTAAAGAAATCTCACCAAATAAGTGACTCAACAAATACACCATGGATTTGTTCCTAGAGAGCTTCAAACTTGATCTTCATCGTTCAAAATATAAAACTCTGAATCATAAACCTACTGATAAAGTTTCAGCTTAATCATACCGTAAATTGACTTTCGTTCATCTAACTATCCTTTTTTTTTCTTTTTATTTTTCTTGGCTTTTTTTTTTCTCTTCTTAGTTTGCGACACTACCTTAAAATAACTTCACCTCTTTTTATTAAGCAACTAGGACTTTATGTAAAAAAAATCAAGGCCTATGACCCTTGATTGGTCCAAAACTATTTGTATGAAGCTGGACCTCATTTTCCTAACACATGGCACTACAGTGAAGGCAAAGGCAGGAATTGCTGATTTCCTTGTAGGGCTAGAGAACAGGAGAGCAATCAAGGTTGCAGGTTCTACTTTTTTTCATTCAAAACAGCTATTCAAGAGAACTTTAAGGAAACTAAAGTGGACATATCATTATGCCTTGCGTGTATGACAGTGGACATTAATGTCTGTCTCGTAACAATTGGTTTGACTCTCTTTGAGCAGTTTTATTGGGCTGGCTATAACTCTCTTCGCTGGTGTTTGCTTTTCCCTCTTCTCACCAGCCTTCAACTTAGCAACAAATGATCAATGGCACACTTTGAAAGAAGGGGTTCCCAAGCTGGTTGTCTACACTGCATTTTTCTACTTTTCAATCACTTGTTTCATAGTTGCTGTAATCCTAAACAACACCCTCCTCTACAGCCCTGTATTAGAACTACCCCGATCATCATTCAATGCTTATCTTAATGCCTGGAATGACAGAGGCTGGACCTTTTTGGCCTGGTTTCTCTGTGGGTTTGGGAATGGTCTCCAGTACATGGGAGGTCAAGCTGCAGGATATGCAACGGCAGATGCTGTTCAGGCACTTTTAGTCCATCTTTAAGACCACAAAAATTCATGACATCCATCTTTCATTGATGTGCTCATTGGCATGTTCCTGTATCTTAAATTGTTCAATTCATCTAGATTTGGTGGTGATATCAGGCACTTCCACTTGTGAGCACATTTTGGGGCATACTTTTTAGCAAGTTGTTCATGTTTACTGCGGCCGTTGCAGTTCTCACTGCATCGAAATTGAGCATACGCAGCATTTGATCGACGAAACAAGTTCTTTTATGCGGATTGCATAAATCATGGCTTGATGAAATAGTTGATGAACAAGTCGAGCTAACTGCATTGGTAATGGAGAATTGAAGACCTGTTGCATGAGCATAACTCTTAAAACTGTTAGGCCTCAACGTGGTATTTATGACGACTTAATCCCAGCTGAAAATGGGTCCAATTTTATTAGTCCAAATAATATCCGTTCTATGAGTTTTGTCTTTTTGGGCGTTAACGGAAATTTATGATGGAGAACATAAGCTACTGTATCCCAATAGGATATTGAGCCCTAAAAATTTAAAATATGATACAATAATATAATATAATTATAATATAAAAATAAAATATAAATATAATACAGTTTAAAATTATAACAATAATTATATATGAATTAAATAAAATAAAAAAATTATATGTTATATTTTCATATCAATATATATTATGATATAATAATTTTCATATAAAATATGATATAAATACATAAATTTTAATATTTTACGTGATATGAATACGACATAAATACATAAATTTTAATATTTTACATGATATGAATATACGAATTATAAGATTTATTTTGTAGTTAGATTTTGAGATTTTAATTCAAAAATCTTAAATTCTAATCTTGAAACAAAATGAGAATCCAATGCATTTTTTTGAAATTGTTATAATTATAATCAAGTCATATGTAATGAAAAGTAAAAAAAAAAAAATGAAGAAGATTTTTTCAATCCTTTTAAATTGTTAGCAAAACAAAAATTAAAAACTTATAATGCATTGTAATATCTCAATCTCATATCAAAATAATATTAAAATTTATTATGATATATAAATATTTGAATTTATACATGTGAGGATTTTTTAAAAAATAAAATTATAAAATATATTTTTAAATTAAAATAGATAATATCTCGAGTTTTTACATGAATCTTTTATCATGATAATTAGAGCAGAAAATTCTGGAGTGTGCAGAAATTGAAGGCAACAAAGATTTGTTTCAGGCTTTACAGGCAACCCATGCCCCGACCCCATCACTAAAAATGCTTCTAGAAGAGCAACTGAAAGCAACTCATGGCACCGTTTGGTGGATTGTTTGGATATTTTGTCAACAAGATTCCTTATTACAGCTCCAACAGGCAACAGTCTGAAAAGCAAAATGGGATAGTGGCCCAGATGGAGAAGAACAAGGCAGTCCATCAATTTGGGCTTTAGGTGCCTTGTTTCTATTATGTAAATGAATAGAATTTTTGACGAATAAATATGTTTAATTAATTAATTTATATTTATTTATTAAATAAATCAAATATGAATAAAAATATGTTTAATTTATTTATATTTGTAAATAAATTCATTTAAAATTTATTTAAAATTCGTTTGTTTATTTTTTATTATTTATTTGTTATTCGTTTATAATAATAATAATAAAATTATATTTTTATTAACTAGTTTAATCTTATTTTAAAATTCATTTATTTTTGTTTAGATTCATTTGTATTCATTTAGAATTTATTTATTTAAATTTATGTGATTATAATTTTTTTATTATTTATAAACATATATATATTCATAAATATATTTGTTTAATATTTATGAACGAATTCATTTAATACAATTAATCCTCATACAAATCAAATACGAATATTTTATAGTTTAAATAAACTAAACTCGAACAATCAGAATAATTTTTTTATTAAACATGAATCAAACTTAAATACTTTTAAAAATAAATAAATATACCACAAATATATATTCTGTCACGGCATTATTCGAACACAGTGAAAGGTCACTAATACTAAAGAACAAAAATGTGAAGACTAGCTGTTGAAAAAAAATTTTACATCAAATATTAAAATAAGGAAAAGATTAAAAAAAAAAAAAAACAAATAGATTTTGTCACCTTTGGCTGCTATCACTAAGCACATATCATTAGTCATTTTATTAATTATGACTTTGGGTTAATCTATTTGAAACATTCCAAAGCATACTGTAAAACTTTGTTATATTTATTATGCAATCAATCTGTCATCAACTAAGTTTAATTATTTAATCTGAATCATCTAATGAATATGGGCCCCGCTAACGAGCCAAATGATCCACGTGTAATAACTTAATTTGCACTTATCCGTTCTGTCATAACATGACGAGCAGTAAAAGATCCCCTTAAATTGCATTAAATTCTGTGAAACGTACACGTGTCGTTCAATCAAAGAGTAGTGGCCATTGCCGTTATCTACCCATCTGCTATAAGTAAGAGGTGGCTGGTGGCTTTGTCTCCAATGCTTTCGAGGCTTTTCAATGAAAACCTTCCAGAAACTTAAGAAATGGAAAGTTTCGAGTTTTCAACTGAGTTGGTTCCGGGTTTACCCGAAGAACTCGGTCTTGAGTGCTTAACTCGCTTACCTTTCACAGCTCACCGACTTGCCTCCCGAGTTTGTCATCAATGGCGGGAATTGCTCCAAAGCCAAGATTTTTATCATCACCGCAAAAAATTAGGGTACATCCAGAAAGTCGCTTGCTTGGTTCAATCCTTAAGTGGTGGAACCGTGAATGGACCTAAAAAACCCGGTGAGTCACCGTGTTATGGAATTGTTGTGTTTGACTCGGTGAGTAGGAGTTGGGATAGACTCGCCCTGGTTCCCAGGTACCAAAATGGGTTACCTTTGTTTTGTCAATTAGCAAGCTGTGAAGGGAAGCTTGTGATGATGGGCGGGTGGGACCCTGTGAGTTACGACCCTGTTACTGACGTTTTTATCTATGATTTCATGACTCAGCAATGGAGACAAGGGAAAGATATGCCGTCAAAAAGGTCGTTCTTTGCAATCGGAGCATGTTCGGATCAGGTCTTTATTGCGGGTGGACATGACGAGAACAAGAACGCGTCAAGAACCGCGTGGGTTTATGATTTGAGAAAGGACGAGTGGACTCAGTTAGGGGAGTTGAGTCAAGAGCGAGATGAGTGTGAAGGAATGGTGATCGGGGAAGACGAGTTCTGGGTTGTGAGTGGGTACGGAACGGAGAGTCAGGGTCAATTTGATGGGAGTGCTGACGTATACGGGTTTAATTCGGGTCAATGGAGGCGGGTCGAAGGGGTATGGGAACCGGGTCGGTGCCCGAGATCATGTTTAGGGATTTGGAAAGATGGGAAATTGTTGAATTGGGCAGAGCTCGATCCGGCCGTTCGGTTCGGAGCATGTGGGATTACGCTGGGAGGGCGGGTCTTGGTTTCCGGGTCGGAGTATCAAGGTGCACCACATGGGTTTTACATGGTGGAAATGAAGGAAGGGCAAACTGGTAAATTGGAGAAGATCAGTGTGCCTGATGAGTTTTCTGGTTCTGTCCGGTCAGGCTGCTTTGTTGAAGTCTGATGCACTATGCATATAAGCAACTAGTAAAGAAAAAAAGATTAAAAAAAAAAAGGAGAAAAAAAAAGCGCTTTTTTTTTTCAATAATCATATAATGATTTAAAATATAATATAATAATATAATACGAATATGATATAAAAAAATAATATGATTCAAAATTTTTGTAATAATTATATATAAATTTAATAAAATAAAAATATTTATTTTATATTTTTATGTCAATATCAATAATAATACATAATTTTTATATAAAATATGATATGAATATACGATCGTAATTTCGCGATGATTAAGTCTCATAATGTAAAATTTTGAATTTGATGCATAATACTTACGATAAATTTGCACAATATTTAGTTTGACGTGTAAAAGTCAAGTTTGATGGTTTCCAAAGGAGACTCAATTGTCTGTGGAGCAATGAAAATTGAAGTTTCCATCAGTTGATTTTTCTGTCTGCATGTAATGTTGACATGAACCAGACAGGCTGGTTTCCCAGTTCATTGGTCATTCTAGACTGTCAATAACGCAATGCGCCCAGCTGAAGTTTGCCATTGAAACATTGACATTTTCTTGAAATTAAGCCACATGATGACATGGAGTAGTTGTCCAGGTGCCTTATTGTTTACTTTTCTGCAAACCATTCAAAGCTTTAGGTTGATCATTATATGAAATAATATATGACCAGTTTTCAGTTATGAACATTAATTTCTGGGACATACTGACTCAGTGACTTGCAACTGCAAACCCTTCTTTTTGTTGGTTTATTTTCAACACTTGGATGGGGTCCAGAAAGAATAAAATGTGCAAAATTTTGAAACAGATTGCATTGAAATAAGCCTATGTTTGAATGTAACTGCACTTCCAATGAGATGCAGTTAAACTTCAACCATTGTCAATTGAATATAAATATCAATTTTGAGAGGTCCTTTCAATATAAATTTTTCATTATGAAAATTTTTTTTCAATCGTACGTATAATTTTTTTTATCGCAATTACAGTTATTATTATTATTATTTTTAATTTTATCGAAACTGATCTCACCGTCTATTCAAATGGACCTAAATCTTCTTTCACAAAGTAAATATGGAAGTTGAAGCCAGCATTATATAGTTATGTTGAATCTGCTCTACTCATTCTTTACAGGAGCCGCCTGAATTGTTTTGTTGTGTTATGTAAACCTTGAAAAAAAACCAAAGAATACAATGTTTGTTTGTCTTTGAACTTCAATGTTATCTTTCATAGATTCCAAAAATCTTTCTTTGAATTATGAAGGTATGGAATCTGTAAAAGGGTTTCTCATGTCTGGCTTGTCAGTTCTCTCTCTCCCTCTCCTCTCCCTGAGTTGGTATCTCTGTAATTGGTTTTTCTTAAAAGGCCTCCAATGAGGCTACCGATCAGATCTATGATGATTGAGTCATTTTCATCAGGATTTTTTACTCAACTTTCACTGGTGAATTTCAGTTTTGGCTTTTGTATCAAGTGCTGGGCATATAACCCTGCATGCATGCAGGTGAATCAGACAATCAGTCAATTGAGATCATACTATGCTTATAGCCATCAAGAAAAGTTGCTTGTAACCTTCTGTCAGCATGTTCACTTGGTTGAGCCATAAGATATTCTTGGCAGCTATTCTCTTCAGATCATGAAGGGGACAGAGCCTGATAAAATATGACTAAGAAGATGCCTCCAAGCCAAGCATTCCTGTCCAACTCAGAGGGTAATTGATATAGAAATGTATATTGCGTACAAATTCTTCCTCCAAAGTTGCACCAATAATAGTTGCTGATTTCTCACCAACTCCAATAGTGCTCAAAAGAGCCTGACAAAAAAGTTAAAAGTAAACAACAAACAAAAACAGAAATTATTATCAACATAGAGTCTATACTCTATAAACAATCCAGAAGAAGTTCAATATCAATTGAATTTGACCCTTACTTGGGTAGAATGCATTGTTCTTATGTATGTTGAAAGTAAAAAAAAAAAGAAACTGAAACTTTAGTTAGTAAGGATTACTAATTTAAGCAGTGCCCAACAGCTCATCAATGCTTTTTACCTGCTAAGAGTCTCATATTTGTAAAGGTATATAGTCTGGAGTCACACTGCCTGGGAAACCCTGAATTCAAGCTGACTTTAATATAATCTTCTCTTCTTCATGTTTGGGAACCCCAAAAATGGATTGTTTATCAAATTTTCATGCAACTAAAAGACCCAACAAACAAAATTTGATTTTTATTGTTTTTACGTATATAACACCAAATAATGGAAACAAACAGAAAGAAGAAAACTTGCCTTGTTGATGGTGAAAGAAAAGACCCGTGGATTTCTAGAGAAGGGGAGACAGTGATAGTGGCAGTTTTGAAAAGCTTGGTAGAAGAAGATCTGTTCCATTCTTCGATTATTAGTTGCTGCTCTGTCCATTTTTTTGCTTCCATGCCCGAAAATATGATTTTCATATCGTTTTTTTTATATAATTTTTGTATCATATTATTGTATCCAAAAATCTTCGCTTCATATGACTTTTTGCAGTAGCATAGTGCTTTCCAATATGTTTCTTCTCCTTCTCCAAAAATACCATTTGCTTTCAAACATGCATGTTTGCCAACTTCCTCTTATCTTTCCTCCATGCTTATTTTGGTTAAAGTAGGAAATACTCTTTAAGCTAATTATTGCATGAATATGAGAAATATTCTTCCAAAGCAGGCATTGGATATTATCACATGGTCACTGGCCCATTCTTATAAACCCTTTGAGTACATTTTTTTATTCTATTATTGGAAGTCGTACACATTTTTAAACAGTAGCTTACTTTCATCTTCTTCTTTGCAGAAGGTGGCATCATCTCATAAAAATGTAGAAATCGAAAATGGGAATGCCAGAAAAGGCTTTTCATTTCAAGATCAGAATAGATCGCAAGTTTCATAAAAGAATTATTCATCAAAGAAGATTACTAGTAACGAGATGAGAATTTAGACTTTAAAACGAAGTATCGAAACCTTATGAACTCAATCACCACAAGGCGGAATGCAAATGCAATATATGAGCTAACAATGCCAGTAGAAGAATAATGTTATTAGCCTTTAAGCTCAACAATTTACAATGGGAATACTTTCTTGTACCTGAAATATAACACGAAAGAGAAGTACAATAACCCACATCCAGCACCTGTTATAACCAGAACCCAACTAAATGCAGATGGGTAATCAAATATTGAAGCCGCAAAGTTCATTCCAAAGACTCCTGCTACAGCAGCGAATATCGTGGCCACAAAAGTTGCGGCAGTAAGAAGTAACTCAAATTGAATCAGATGGTTTTGAACATTGCCCTGTTTAAGAAAAAAAGGAAGACAATTAATCTTTGACAATTTTTTACTATATGACTTCCCAAGTACCAATTGACTTCTTTCCCATTTCCTACTTTCCCTTGCAAGATAAAAGTGAAGGTATCATTGAATCAGTCAATCGATCCTCACCAATTTAATGTTGATCAGATCTTCAGTATCATCAATGTACTCTTTAAGCTGCATAACCAATAAGATTGAGCATCAGTGGTTTACATGGCAGAGGTTATTCTCAATAATATTCAGCAGAGGCAGATCCACATATAATACCAGGGCGTCCATGGGCACTCTCAAAGATTGAAAAATAAGAAAAATTTCCCATGAACACCTCCAAAACTTTCCACTAGACACCATTTCCGTAGATAAAATTGGTAAATACATGGACAGTTTTTTTTATATATATTGTCAACACCCAAGGAAAAAAATCCTGGATCTGTCACTGATCTTCAGAAGAGAATATATTTTAGTTTCAGGTTCCTACAGTACTGGAAGAAAAAACTACTTGTTGCTTTGATCAAAATCAATGCAATATCTATATGTTAAACTTAGGGGTGGGAAAAACAGATCATTCTTCTACCTCAGCTGATTAGTTGTAGATATGTAGGATGTGACTAAAGCATCTTAATAATTTTCCAGTTTCCACTGAATTTGTAAACAATCTTAAAAGGATTCTAACGTATCTATGGTAGGAAGTCAAATGCCTCTTACCGAGAACAACTTGCTAAGAGTATGATCAATAACAACAAAGTATGCTTCAAGTAACATTTCAAGTTGTTCAATATTTTCCCCACCATTTGATGAACTAATTAAGCTTCCTTGTTTACTTGAAGGCACAATACTGCTAAATGCCCTTTGCAATCTCTGGGCTCCATTGGTTGATGCTACAGGTGAAACAGGAGCAGATTTTGAAACTAGTCTGGTTCCACCAGAAAAATTAGTTAGAGCATTTAGTTCACTGGGGGTGTTACCCTCTGACCTTAGTTTTTTCTCTGTGAGGTACATCTCAGCCATGTCACCGTCATCATCCATAAGATGCTCCAACTCATCTCGGACCTGAAATTTCAATCTAAAATCAGTTACTATAAAAGATCCAAGGCTACAGCAGGTACATGTATTTCTAAAGGTACTGTATATAAGTATCTGAACCTTCTGAACTCGCTGGGTTAATGCAAGGAGGTGGCCTTTTAATCTACGAACACGTTCCAGGTTAAAAGTATTAATGGACGATGCTAGTTCATCTAGCACTGGATATATCTCCATTTCCAGTTCTTTCACCTATAAACAAAAAAAAAAGAAAATTTCGGAATTATGAAGGATTTTAGCTTATGATGATATCTGCATTAGTATTAACACTAATATTCCAATATTTTTAACTTTGGTTTTAACCAGGCTAATTTCCTACCTTTTCTAGAAGACTAGAACCTATATTTGTTAGATGACACATTGGGCTTCATGAGATTACCATGCATGCCAAAACAAAGATTTAGACTTTGGGAGCAGAGCCCATCCAACCTATCAAGTCCCAAATAAATAGTCGAAAATTTTGTTTCAGTGTAAAGGGACCCTCTAATTGTTGAAAGGGCATAATAATACTAAATCTAAGCAGAGTTGTTGGCCAGAAAAGATTTCACACTACTTGTGATTTAAACAGCCAATGTAAGGAATATGAGACCAGACGGACAGCAAGTACTTAATCAAGATGAGGTCAAAAGTCAGCAAATACACTCCGATTCTGTAAATGTGGGAACATAGATTCAACAGGAATTTATTGAGTGGTATATGAATAGTAAGTTTTATACGCAATAGGAAAACGAAAAACAGAATTTTATGCCATTAAAGGAATCTGCTGAGTCTTTCTAGCTGTGTCTTTATGCAGGATAGCATAGCTTGAAAGCCTCCGGAAAGCAAAGGTGGAACATGCCCATATGTTTATCAAGCTTTTTAACAAAAATCTAAACCTACAAACTGGAGCAGGATAGAAAATCTGCAACTCAACCCTATCCGGACTTAAAGAAGAGGAGAGGCCATTTAACTAAGAGACTCAGTTTTGTAGCAAACCATTTGCTATTACAAAGATATTTTGCCTATATCCTATGATTTGATAGAATTTGAAGTGCCTGAACCAGCCAAACAAATTGAGCAGAACTGAGACTGACATCAGCCCTACATCATTCAAGCCTGTAAGCAGGACAAGGACAACACTTGATTCATATATAGTCAAATGACACAAAATTCTCTCTTTCACTCTGTAAAGGAGAAGAAATAGAGAAAAGAGGAAAGGGTCTCTGATTCATAACCCTAAACATAAATCATAAAAGAAAACTAACGAATCCCTCAGCAGTCATTCATCAAGGATTCTGTGCAAGTTGCATGAACCCAACCTTGTTATAGAGTACCTATCTATATTAACATTAACAGAATATTCTATCCTGTGTATTGATGTAAGTGTGCCATTGCCACCTCTGTTGAAAGAGTCAGCTAGGAAAATAAAAAAGTATCATTATTTCCAGTAAATACTATTAACTTTGGGATCCTAACAATTATACAGGATGTACCTCTAAGGTAACCCCTCAGTGTTGAATTCAATTGATTATGTACTTGAAAAAAGGATTTCAAGCAGTTATAAAAATTAGTTAGTGATAGAGGTTATGGCATACCTTTGCATCCAGGGACATGCAGGTTAGTTCCAATGCCAGCTCCAGAGCCCTAAATTCAAATGGCAGGTCATCTGAATCAAACCAGCACATGACGTAAGCAACTTATGAGACAATTTTATAAAACGGAGTTCCAAACTGCCAAATAATTTAACAAAGAAAGTGAGACAAATAAAAACTGCCATAAAAACACATTGGGGGCTAACAAAGGTTTTGGAAGCATCATTTGGGCCAAATTTGTAATTTTTCACCTTCCTGAACTGAGGAAGATGTCTCTGTTTTTCAGGAGTAGTAAAGTAGTCAAATTCAGTGATATTAGAGTTTTTCTCATATGCTTCTCCACATAAGATAACATGGCAATAGATATTGAGGGACTGGAGAATATAACAGACATTTTTGTAACAATGATTTCAACAGCAAAAATTGTTTAGTTGTGACTCTTTCAGTCTTCCACTTGAAACCATATTAAACTACAAGCTATCAATACCATACAAGTAAGCATTTTTACCAGCTTGATCTTTGTTTGTCAGAAGACGCTTGCATAATTCTGACTTGTATTGAACCACATTTATATCCAAAGAATTCATCAAGATAACCTCCTCAGCTGTAATTATACATCTTATTTGCTCAAGATTGACCACGATAGCCTTCTCCCTTCCTAGTATTGTTGACGGATAAATAAACAAAGGGTCCAAAAGCCTTAGGTCCCTGGATGGCAAAGAACATTGTCTCATTATTCTAGCCTTATCAAGCTCCAAAATCTTGACATTCCCATCTTGATCAATCTTTATCCATGAACGACTGCTGTGGCCTCTCTTCTTCGCTCCTGGAAAGCCAGACCCAGGATTCACATGCACTCCTGAATTAAGCCTTTCACTGTTATTGGAAGGGACAGATTCAGGAACATCAGAGGGAAGGAAATGGCCCTGTGATTCATCCATCGGTCTTTAGTTTTTCCTCCTTTGATTCCAGGCAACAATTTTGCAAAGAGGTGTTGTATCAGTGGACATTCCAACAACAGCAGCCTCGCTCATTTGAGTTGGTAATCGTATGGTTATTGATATTTCTGTTATCCATGTAATATTGTCAACCACAAAGCAAGATTCCTGAAAACTTTAGGTAAGTATATAATAAAACAGGCAAGGAATCACTTTGAAAAAGTACTGCTTTCAATGGAGAAAGTACAAAAACATTATTATCCATGTAATAAAAAGGCTCAATCTGAAAATCTACAAGCAGAAGAAAGAAAGAGGAATCCACCTTGAATCTCATGTTTCATATTCAACAAGGGACAAAAACCAACAATTTTTCATCTTTATTTGGTTGAAGACCAGCAAATAAGCTTAACACCCCCAACAATTGAGAAATGTATGATTTGGTTCAATGATCAAATCCCAGTATGAAACTGACTCAAACAGGTATAGTTCTCTATCAAAATCCACAAACCCCAACACTCAAAAACCCTCAAAGAGCATTCTACTAATAAAAATAGCAATTTATCTTCAGACCCAAATGACAAAAACAACCCACTTCTGTTCAGAAGATTAAACGCGAAAGAAAGCAACTTTCACGAACAATAAATATAAAAAAAAAAAATTTAATGGAAGAACAAGGATTATACCACTTAAAATGAAAGGACCCAAATCTGCAAAGCGGTGGAGGGAATCTGGGACAGCGTTGTTGCATATGATGGAAGTGAAGAGAAACAGTGAAACAGTCGATGTGAACTGAAGAGGTGCCACCATTAAGCAATTTCTCGACGAGTTTCTTGCCTCTTGGCTGTCGAAATTCGCAAAGCAGGTAAAGTTTACAGCTGACTTAGTAACATTTGTTTAACTGAAACAGTTTCTTTTCTGGGAAGAACTGCAGATTTTTTTTTTTATTTCCTGAATATTTACAACCATTAATGTGCTATATAGGATGGCTTTGTCTTGCCTCGAAACAAAAAGACGCAAAAACCGGAAAAAAATAATTAAAGAATTATGGCTCTTTTTATATATCAAACCTTATAATTTCACATGAAAAACAAATGTAAAAAAATTATATTTTACAATTTTATTAAAATCAAAATATAAATATATATTTTTTATTTTATTAAATTTATATATTTTTATTATTATAAATTTAAGTTATATCATTTTAATATTTTTATATTATATTTATATAGTATCCCATATTAATATCTTAAAATTTTCATATCTCCGACAAGGTGAGATGCTCTTTCCACGTAAACCTCCTAGTAAAAGAGATCTACATAAGCAAATGCAACCACATTTCCAAAACCATTGGAGTCAATCATTTAATCACTGAGAACCAATCACAGCATGCCACATCAACCATCGTCATAACGAAAAGACTAAAAGGCCCAAAAACCTTCCATCTGTCGAATGTGCCGCCGAAGGTAATTATTTTTTAACGTTATATTCAATAAAATTTTAATTATTTATATTTAAATTTGGGTTTGAATTCAAATTTAAATTCAAAATATTTTATTAATTAAAATAATAAAAATTTTATTAAAAATAAAAATTAAATTAAATTTATAAATTATTTAAATTAAATATAAAAATATTTTAATTCAATTCAATCAATAAATTAAAATTTTTTAATTTAAATTTAATTTAATAATAATTAAATTTTATTTAAATCATACTCGAATATTTATAAATATTAATATATTATTTACGTCACTGTACGAACGGAAACGGAGATGGTTTAAAATAGCGCCAAACGTATACACAGTGAAGTTAGTTACAAAACGGAACCAGAAATTCAGAAAATGTCGCTACTCCATCCCACCAAATTATAACCGCTGAATTTGTTCTTTTTATTTTTTTTAACTTCAGGTAAATTCTATGTCTATCTTCTCTGAAAATCCGGGGTCAAATATCATACTTTGTTTTCTGTTGATCCCGGATTTTCTTTTTTCTCTTTTGTAAATATATGTGAATTTCAGATGGAAAGTCGATAAGCATGCCGGAAATGTTTCCGGTGAGTTTGATTTTAGCAGCTGCTGGTGTTTAATGCTACAAAGTAAGTATTTTTTTTTCTTTTTCTTGTTCATATGATCCAGAAATTTGAGAATTGCAACTGTTACCTAATTCATTTTGAAAGAAATATAGAATCAAAACAGGAGACAATTTTGTCAGGTGAATTAGAGAAGAAAAGGCTATCAAGTTACAATGAATTTAATGCTACCAAATGTAGATTTTACGAACTGGAACTCGAAAATTGTTGACGGGGTCTTCTTTAATTTCTTATTCTTCTAATATATATGGTTTTAAGGGTCATCTACGTACATTGTTTTCCCCTACTTTCTCAAGAAAAAATTTGGCAATTTTAATGTGAAGAATGGTGTAAAATTTACCAATTATCCCTCCATTCATGTATGGATATGGCTTTTAGCATTGAAGGGGTGTTTTTTTTTTCTTTTTAATTTTCTGAAGACAATGTTTGAAGCTGTTGATATGTCACAAGATGTTCTTCGAACTTTGACTAAACCTCTTAACTCTTCATGAATATGGCTACCTGCTTCTTCCTCTTGTCATTGGCAAGTAGTTAAAGATTTCCTTTTGTTTTCATTTTCCAGGTGGAGCCATATGGTGATAATATAAATGCATGTATCCAACCCTGGTACATATATTTTAAGTTATGGACTTTGATTATGTGAATGGAAGCAGCAAGTATTCAAGAACAGACATAGAGGAAGTTGGTGATGGGAGTGGAAGCAGTAAGCATTCAGGGAGACATCTGGAATTTGTGTTTGGAAGCGGAAACAGTAGGCATTTGAGTGAGGGAAGTGGAGGCAGTAAGCATTCAAGCAGACATCTTGATGATGAAGCTGAAAGCAGTGAACATTCAAGTGAGGATAGTGGAAGCAGTAAGCATTCAAGAAGACATTTAGAATTTGATGTTGAAACTGGAAGCAGTAAACATTCACATACTTATCCAGAGGAAATAAATAGAAGTGGAGGAATTGAAAGTAATCATTTTGAGATTGATCCAGAGATTACAAACGGATGGGGAAACAGTCATGCTTTTGAAATACATCCAGACGTAATTGATGGAAGTGAAAGTAGTAAACGATCAGAAGTAATTCAAGAGGAGATGAATAGGATTGAAGATGATGTTCTCGTCTCAACCGAAAAACTGAGGTTGTCATCTTCTTCATCCTTATCTTCATCTGGCTCATCTACAGATGATCAGTTTCAAGAGGATATAAAACTATCAAAGTCCAGATCAGACATAACGTCCACTTCCTCCCCTAAACCTGATGAGTATGCTCAACAATTACTTAAAGATACACATCATGTTTCTGCTAACAACTCTTTCAAATTAGAAGAATGTCAAAATGGATCTGCAGGTTCCACATTGACATCTCAAGTTTCCAGTGACACGCATGAATCAACCTTGACACAATCCCCTCCAATCCAAGTGATGGACCGGCTAGGAGAATTCGATCCTTATAGGATTCCCTCTGCTGTCTTTGCAAGAAGTAAATCAACAACACCTATGGATTGGAGTATTGCTTCTAATGATTCATTATTTAGCATTCAAGTAGGGAATCATAGTTTCTCCAGAGATCATATTCTAAACCTAAAATCTGGAGAACTTTTCAAGTCTGGCGAGTTCATTGCGTTAAGTCCATCCCCTGTGGCTCCAGCGGTAGACACTGACAAAAAGAGTGTTGAATTGGACAAGAGCGAGGCAACTTTAGTATCAGATGATGCTGTCAAGGATAAAACAGGTTCGAGTGCTGAAGAACCAACTGGGGAAAATCCAACACATCCCATGGTATCCTGGAATTCATCAGCCATTTCTAATCATTCTGATAAAGGTGTAACCAGTGCACGCTCCTTTGCCTTACCAATGTAAGTTAACAGCATTCTCTATCTGCAAACAACCCTACTATTGGCAAGCATGTTCTCACTTGTTATATATGCATCTCCTTGGTGTCTATGTAGTTGTTCATGTGAACCTGATATGATCATTTATTCATTTATTCCACGTGTATACAAAATCATACAGAAATTTCAACACCAACGCTTGCTCGATGACGAATATATGCCTTTTTGTGTTGTAGAAGAAACAAGAAGAAGGGTGCATGGCCATCATGCTACTGTTCTAATTGTAGCTGGGCGTTCTGCTACTGTATAAGGCCAAGCTGCTACTGTAGGTAAGCTGCTACTGTTCTAATTGTAGCTGGGCGTTCTGCTATGATTGGAACTGTAGCATAAAAAGATGGTGTTATCACTTTTGTACTGTGTATGCTTCTTTCTTTCTCCCTACCTATATGCTAACATGTATCAAGCATTAGATAAAAACAGATTTTTTTTTTTAAAGAAAAAACTTTCTTTTAAAAGTTTTCTGTGCATTTTATTGCTGCATATTGTACTTAATTTTCCCCTATTTGCTTACAATGTGCAATGTTGCAGGAACTCATTGACTTAATTTATACTGGATTCTTGCAGTTTGTCATATGGAAAAAATGTTTCTAATAAAGAAAAAGCAAAGCAGAAGCAGCAGCAGCAGCAGCAGCAGCAACAACAACAGCAACAACAACAGCCCTTGGCCTCTGCAGTACCCTCAAAATCAGCTTGCTGCAACCGTTGGTGTTTGTTTCCTTCCCGGCATTGGTGTTGCTGTTGTAACTGTTGTCGAGGAAACTGATGTTGAAGAACTCTCAAGCCACCCTCTCCCTGCCGAAAAATTCTGCCCAAATCTGTCCTTTATTATGGGATGCTTGCACAGATCTGTTGCAAATCATCATTCTGCATAACTGCAGAGGCTTGTCATGAACTTGCTCTTTTATGTGTTCATTGAAGTGATATACTTCAACCAATCTCAAGTTCACATATCTTTTCTTCTCACATGCATAATTATGTCAGAAACGGGCCTTTTACTCATGAGAAGAAAGGGGACAATGGCTGGGAAAGGGAAAATCATCTACCTCTACATGATTTTGAAGACGGATATCGACTTTTAGGTGGCTTTATTCGTGTAACTTTCACCTATTTTGAATTTTTAGCGATGTGAATCTGTTTCGAGTTTATTAATACTTTAGTTTCATTAGATTTTTTAACTATCTACTCCAAGCATTTGCCTTCATTTTGCAGATTAACAGTTTAAGTAATGGTGGTGGTTAGAAGCTTTCTTGTGCAGTTACGTTGTCTTAGCCTGTAAGTGCTTTAACATGCCAGTCACCCAAAAAACAAAGTGAATATGAACATATATGATCAAAGTAACTTAATAAGTTGTAGCCTTCCCAACCCAACTAGGAAAACACAAAAGATGTAAATGAACCATGAGCGAAATTTATTATATTCGTAATTTCGTGATCCTTTGTTAAACTTAACAAACAAATAGAAATCGAATATGTTTACGAAATGTTAATTGACATTTACACCACTAAGATCACCACACCATCACCATTTAAGATACAAGAAACTGCAAACTCTGCCTGAAAGTTGCTCATCAGAATGGAGCTTTTGGCCTTAAACATGAGCAACTTTAATGGGAAATTTTGTGCATTGAAGCACTTGGATGCAGCAACAAACATTGAAAAAGCTTGTTACCATTTCCCATATACACTTCAAATGGAAAAAAAAATTTGAGTTTGACAGTCCTGATTTTTTTGGTCAGACAAATTGCTGGTCATTTTTAACCAGGAATCATGATATTGATTATTTAACTCCAGAATCTTTTCCTGTTTTGAAGAAAAGCTTGAATTGAACCAATGGAATGGAGGAGATTTAATGTGACCTCTCAACAACCAAAGGCTTTAACTCCACCAATCAAACATGACCCAACATTAATGTCTGAGTTGTGGTCCTAACTTCAAAGGTATCAACACTGAAGTAAGATCAACTGACAATAATTTTTTTTTTCCTTTTTTTTAATGACCCTCTTCTAAGATTTCATTATTTAAATCATTAGAAGAAAATTATTTGGCCATTCCATCTTCACATGGTTACAGCCAGAATTTGCTCACCACATCATTCCTTCAAAACATTAAATAATTACAATTTATGCCATCATTTTAAAAAATAATATTTAATAAGTTTGAAATTTAATTTTTGATATATAAAATATTTTTCATTATCCTTGAACAATGACTTTCTTTATAAAAAAAATTATAATCAAATTCAACAAGACAATTCAATTTTTTTATAATACAAAAAATAAAATGAAACTTAAGGAATCTTAAATAAAAAATCTATCCATTTCTTGGTCACTATCTATTAAACAATTAATAATACAACAACAACATTAACTTGTACCTAACTACTAAACTTTAGACAGAGTCATAACTTGTTTTTTTTTTTTTTGTTTAACTGAGGTCATCTTGATAATGGACAAGATCCTAATCAAAGTTAAAATCAAACTTACCAAATTTTAATAATCCAATGTTTTACTAATTGAATTGAAATCCAGGAAAAAAAAATTTTTTTTAGCATGTTAGTCCAATTTTATTATCTTAAATAAAAGGCAGAATTCAAGTTTGAGAGCTTTTAATTTTCCTTAAAAAATAAAAAAATTACTTTCATGCGTCACACTGGCGATAGGATGGCATCAGCTTTTGGTTAAGTTCTTGAGAAACGACATCGTTTTACTTTTCATTAAGGGTACTAGGTGAGAGTTAAGATATTCCACGTAGATAAAAAAAGCTAAAAGAAAAAAAAAGTGGGACCCATAATCCGCCTGGTCTTTCCGGGAGCCACCGTGTGTTGACGGCTCTGATGTATTAATTGACCGGTAGTTGGACCCCACCTTCCTCATCCGTTAGTCTACCTGGGCCCCAACCCCTACCTCTATTTCCAGCAAAAATATAAAACCTCGAAATAAATTAAAAAAAAAAAAAAAACAGGACAAAGCTCAAGACCCAGACTTTCCACAACCCCATCAGAAAAAACAAGAACGCGTTTTTTTCCTCCAAAGGCTCTCCTTTTCCTCCAAAGAACACATTTTTCTTTGTTTTTTATTCCAAAAATAATCAAATGCTTATGTCCCCTTAGCAAACAGAGAGAGTGGTTCTTGGTCCTTTGGGTGGACTCTTTTAAGAACAGGGAGATCTTTGTTTTTGGGTGGTTTTTATTTTCTTTGGAAACAAACATGAAATGTTTTCTGTTCTGTAAAGCTTTGATCTTGTTTGTGTTTCATCTGTTTGTTGTCTTCTCTTTAGTTTCAGGGAAGTTGTTTCCTGAGAAAAGAATCCTCTTGGAGTTCAAAAGCTCTGTTTTTGATCCTTCTGGGATTCTTTCAAGCTGGAACTCTTCAAAGAGCCCAAATCACTGCTCCTGGTTCGGAGTTTCATGCAATTCAAGGTCTCAGGTCAGCTCCATCAACATCCCTGGTGGTTGTGGTGAAGGTTATAAAGGTAACTTGACTCAAGCTTGTTCTTGTTCTTCAAAGCTGTCTAGGTTTCCATTTTATGGTTTTGGATTGAGAAGAAGAGCGTGTTCACATGGGATATTAGGTGGAAACTTGTCACCTTCGATTGGGAAACTTACTGAACTTAGAGTTTTGTCTCTTGCTTTTAATGATATTGGTGGAGAAATTCCTTTAGAAATATGGGGTTTAGAGAAATTAGAAGAACTTGATCTTGAAGGGAATTCATTTACTGGGAAGTTGCCTAGTGAATTTATGGGGTTGAGAAATTTGCGGCTTTTAAATCTCGGGTTTAATGAACTAGAAGGGGAGATTCCAGGGTCTTTGTCAAAATTTGTGGATTTGGAGGTTTTGAGTTTAGCTGGGAATAAGCTGAAGGGGTCAATGCCCGGTTATTTTGGTAGTTTTTATAAGTTGAAGGGGCTTCATTTGTCTAATAATCATCTAAATGGGCCAATTCTTGATAATTTTGGAAGTAATTGTCGGTATCTGGAGCATCTTGATCTGTCAGGGAATTTCCTAGTTGGGAGTATTCCTGGTAGTTTGGGGAATTGTCGGCAGTTACGGACTCTTTTGTTGTTTTGTAACATGTTGGATGGTGTTATTCCTGATGAGCTTGGTCAGCTGCATAAGCTTGAGATTCTTGATGTTTCTAGAAACAACCTTAGCGGTTTTGTCCCCACGGAGCTTGGAAAATGTGTTCAGTTGTCGGTTCTTGTCCTTTCTAATCTCTTTGATCCAGTGCTGAGTGGGCAGAGTTCAAGTGAAGAGCCGTCATTTAGATTGCCGCTTGCTACTACTGATGACTTTAATCATTTTCAAGGCTCCATTCCAACGGGAATCACAACCCTTCCAAAGCTTAAAATACTTTGGGTGCCCAGGGCGAATCTTGAGGGGAAGTTACCGAGAAATTGGAGTGGTTGTGAGAACTTGGAAATTGTGAACTTAGCTCAGAACCACTTTAGTGGGGAAATCTTTGGATTGTTCAATGGATGCAAGAAACTACGGCATCTAGATTTGAGCTCGAATGGGCTAACTGGGAAGCTTGATGAGAAACTTCAAGTTCCTTGTATGACACTTTTTGATATCAGTGGAAACCTTATGTCAGGATCAATCCCCAGGTTTAGTTACAGTGTGTGCCCTGGTTTTTTCTCCTTGAGTTATGAACTTCTCCAAACCCATGATCCTGCATCTGCATATCTGTCATTCTTTACATATAAAACACATCTTGCAATGCATTTGCCATTTTCTCGTTCAAAGGCTGTGTTGATTCACAATTTAGGTGGAAATAACTTCTCTGGTTCACTCCCAAGGCTACCAATTGCTCCAACAAGATTGAGTAAGCAGACTGATTATGCATTTCTTGCTGGTGGAAACAAGCTCACTGGATTGTTTCCTGGAAGTGTATTTGGAAACTGTAATAAGCTCCATGGGATGATTGCTAATGTTAGCAAGAACAGATTGTCTGGTCATATTCCATCCGGAATTGGTGCAATCTGCAGATCTCTTAGATTTTTGGATGCCTCTGATAATCAGATTGAAGGAGTAATTCCCCAAAGTTTCAGGGACTTGAAGTCTCTTGTTTTTCTTGATCTAAGTGGAAACAAACTTAGAGGTCCAATTCCTGAAGGGCTCCATCAGTTGAAGCATCTCAAACATCTCTCCTTGGCAAGCAACAACCTGACTGGTGCCATTCCTTCTAGCTTTGGGCAGTTTCACTCCCTTGAAGTGTTAGAGCTTTCATCAAATTCACTATCTGGTCAGATTCCACGGAGTCTTGTCAATTTGAGAAACCTAATTTCTCTTCAGCTAAACAATAATAAACTCTCAGGGGAAATACCTTCTGGTTTGTCTACCATGAAATCACTTTCTACGCTTGAATTATCATTCAAAAACCTACCTGGGTTATTACCATTGAATGGTAATGCAATGAATTCTACCAGTGCTCATGGAAGGCCTTTCCTCCATTCACACCATGTAGTCTCGCTATCTGTACGAACTGCTGATTTGGCAACCAACACCAAAGATTCACCAATTGATGTAGCTGCTCCTCCGGATAACACAACTGTCAATAAAAGTTTAGATTCCATTGAGATTGCATCCATAGTATCTGCCTCAGCCATTTTTTCAGTTCTTCTAGTTCTAGTTGTCCTCTTCTTTTACACCAGGAAATGGGTCCCAACGTCCAGGGTTCAGGTTTCTGAATCAAGGGAAATTACAGCTTTTGTAGACATAGGGGTTCCATTGACATATGAAACTATTGTCCAGGCAACAGGGAATTTTAGTGCTGGCAAATGCATTGGGAATGGAGGTTTTGGTGCCACTTACAAGGCTGAAATAGCTCCAGGAACCCTAGTGGCAGTGAAGAGGCTTGCTCTTGGAAGGTTCCAAGGTGTTCAGCAGTTCCATGCTGAGATAAAGACCCTTGAAACAATGAGGCACCCTAATCTTGTAACTCTAATAGGGTACTATGCCAGTGAAACAGAGATGTTTCTCATATATAATTTTTTGTCAGGCGGTAATCTAGAAAATTTTATTGAGGAAAGGTCAACAAGAGCTGTAGATTGGAAGATTATTCACAAGATTGCTCTGGATATAGCCCATGCACTTGCATATCTGCATGACGAATGCAGTCCGAAGGTTCTGCACCGGGATGTCAAGCC